GGTAACACGGGCAATAAAGTTTGCCCCAATCGGGATCATCCCGAACCGTCGTGTAAATTTGCGTGCTCGAAAATTAAGAACCACGGATTTCTCTGAAAATCCGTCTAGGGGGGTTATTCGACCTGCTGATCACAAAAATGATATTCATTTTGCATGGTGGGGCCTTTTTTGAGGGGTTACGGTAGGCATACGGTATAGGGTCGAGATCTCATAATTCGCTAAAATTTTACGTGGGGGGTTATTCCGCAGGCTGATCACGAATATCACACTTTTTCCGCACGAAAACCTCTCCCTGTATGGTTACGGTAGGTGTACGTTAGGGGGTCAGGACCTAGATTTGGCTGGAATTTGGTCTGGAGGGGTTATTTAGCACGTTGAACATGGATATCATATTGACTTTGTACGGTAGCGCCATTTTTTGGAGTTACGGTAAACGGTACATGGGTGAGAATTTCAAATTCGCTTAAAACGTTGCCTAGAGGGGTTTTCAAGCATGCTGATAACGAATATCAGGCTTGCTCGCTATGATAGCGCTTTGTTGTAGAGTTTTGGCAATTTGCAGCGCTTGGGGAAGCATCTTCCCCGCTTTTCAGCCCAATTAAGATCCCAAAAATCCATGAGAAGGCCTTATAAGCGAAATGAACGTGTTATTCATGATGAGCACATCAAATAACACTTCTGCACGAAGTTTCAGGCAGATATACGGTTTTGACCTCTTCATATACCTACCGAAACCGTACAAGGAGAGGTTTTCGTGCGGGAAAAGTGTGGTACTTGCGATCAGCATATCGAATAACCCCCCTACGCAAAGTTTTTGCGAATTCTGAGCTCCTGGCCCCATACCATAATCCTACCGTAACAACTCAAAAAAGGCCCCACTATGCAAAACGAATATCATTTTCGTGATCAGCAATCGAATAACCCCCCTAGACGAATTTTCAGAGAAATCCGTGGTTTTTAATTTTGCGTTGTATTAAGTGAAATAGTACCAAAACTTGCTACAACTAAAAAAGAATCAGAACAAAACAGTAGCTAAAAAGAATTTAAAAAAAACCGCTGGAAGTATCCTGTCTTCTTATATAGTGCTGGCCATAGCTATAAAGCCACCCTAAAAAATCACTGTAATTTGCCCTCTCTTGCTCATAACTGTCTGAAAAACTACAGGGTGTCCCAAAAAAATGTATCGAACGTTTGATCGTTAATATCTCTCTTCACAAGAAGTCTTTTGCCTTGCTTCAAGTACCGTTTTGTAGAGCTGGCTTCAACTTAGATTTGCATTATAGAACGAATCACTCATCTCTCTTCATTACTGTAGGATTACGGTAGAAACTTGAAACATATGGTGTCAATGTGGAAAAAGCTACCGTTTCAAAATTTTTCAAAAAATTGTGAAAACTTGTGTAATAGGGTTTTTATGGACGCTGAGTTCAATACTCAACTATTCACAAGATTACGAAGCTTTCTAAACGGTGTAATCGCACTCTTCAGGAACAATGAAAAAATGGCCGCTACCTCTTACCTGACATAACTCTTCAGTGAAGCATCATAATAAGTTGGGAACTTTACAGTTGTAATCAGCAACTCTAATTAGCCCAGTGTAAAAGCTTTCAGGCTGTTTTGTTTCCCTTTTAAGGCAAAATATGGCTTTTCATTGCTTAAAACCCTCTTTCAAATTTCTACCGTAATCCTACAGTAGTGAAAAGTAATGAGTGATTCGTTCTATAGTGCAAAACTAAGTTGAAGCCAGCTCTACAGATTGGTACCTGAAGCAAGGGAAAAGACTTCTTTAGAAGAGAGATATTAACGATCAAACGTTCGATACATTTTTTTGGGACACCCTGTACTAGTTTGTGCGAAAACTAACGTCATACCATTGACCAAAACGGCTCACAATTTTTTTGGCCGCAGAAAACTTTAAAAATTTGAAAAAACGGGTTCCGAAGGCTGGTCACAGCTATAAATCCACCTCTCATTTTCAATCAGTACTACTACGTTTTCTAAATCTCAAATATTTTGTACATATACAACATAAAAATATGAAACATTTGTTACACTTGGAAGGAGTCCTCTTTCAAAAAAAGATTCGTACTGCATTTTTTGCTCTAAATTGCACAATAACTCACATTATTTGCAAAAAAACTGCTTTTTCACTAAATTTTGAAGCACTTGTTTGACTTGGATAAACGTCTTAGGATTTGCTTAGCTTTTGCAATGAACGAGGTGGAAAGTGCTGAACTCAACATTGCGTAGTCGCTAATCTTGGTAAAGGAGCCTCATCTTGCCGAGGTGTAAGCGCGCTTCTGAGGCGCAAAACTCGATTTCTGACCCGCGAAAACTTTTGGTTGGAAGTTGACACCTTGTCTGCATGGCGACGTACTCATGCAGAAGTCGCCAGGTTTTTTGCAAAGACCTATTTGCCGCAATGAAGTCAGAACGCTTTGTCTGCAGTTCGGTTGTGCGCAGTGTATCTCACAAGACTTCAAATTTCACTGCTTTGAACTCCTAAATCTTACTAAACTGTCAGGAATAGAAGGATTTTAAACTTCTGAGCGGTTTTCCGCTCGATCGAGGTGGTTAGAGTGGATCATGATCAGACGGAGTGCACCACTCATTTTTGGAAAAAAGGCGTCTAAAGCGGAACCAGAGTCCTCAGAGTTGCGATGACGTAAAGGCTATGCGCACGAGTCTGTCAGTTACACAGTTACACAAGCGACGTGCTGAGCACGCGACAGAGCTTTTCGAGCATCAGAACTCAATTTCTGCGGTTTGAAAACTCGTCTACCTGGAGATGAGGTTGGGGCTCGTTTATCAATATCAGCGACTACGCAATGTTAGCTCAAGCGCTTTTCGCCGTATTCATCGCAGTGGCTCGGCAAAGCATAGGGCCTCCTTCCGAGTCAAATGAGTGCTTCAAAATTCAGTGTAAAAGCAGTTCTTTGCAAATGATGTGACCTATTATGCATTTTAGAGCAAAAAATGCAATACGAATTTTTGAAAGGCGACCCCCTCCAAGTGTAACAAATGTTTTATGTTTTGATGTTCTATATGTACAAAAAATTTGAGGTTCAAAAAACGCAGTACTGATTGAAAATGAGGAGGTGGCTTTATAGATGTGACCAGCTTTCGGAACCTGTTTTTTCAAATTTTTCAATTTTTCTCCGGCCAAAATCCATGAAATTAGGAGCCGTTCTGGTCAATGGTATGACGTTAGTTTGCGTACGAATAGTGGTTTTTCAGACACTTGTGAGCAAGAGAAAGCAAATTACGGTGATTTTTAGGGTGGCTTTATAGCTATGGCCAGCACTGTATATAAAGCTGAATGTCTGTTTGTCTGTCTGTCTGTATGTCTGTATGTCTGTCTGTCTGTCTGTACGTATGTTCCCAATAGAAAATTCCATTTCTGAACCGATCGGGACCAAACTTGGCACACATACACTTTGGGCCCCGGCGGGTGTCATAGGCTACTTTTCGTCATCGATCGATATCGATTTTATCGATTTTTTGCAAAATTTGAGACGGGGCTGGGAGTTGGCACAGGGGGGTAGTCGAGCATGCTGATCACCCCCGTGGGGGTGATCAGCATGCTCGATTACACCCCCTGCCAAATTCCAGCCCCCTAGCTCAAATTTTGCAGAAAATCGATAAGACATCGATCGATAGCGAAAAGTGGACTGTGACACCCGCCGGGGCCCGAAGTGTATGTGTGTCAAGTTTGGTCCGGATCGGTTAAGAAATGGAATTTTCTATTTGGAACATACGGCGGAGCCGGGTAAGCCAGCTAGTTGGGAATAAGTTCCAACTTTGCGCTCTTTGGGGATCGTTGAGACCGCGCAGGTACCCGTAATCCGCCCGAAAACGTCCAAATCGGTTCCAACCCGCCCTAATCCGTCCGAGTCCGCCCGAACCCGCCTGAACGCCGGAACTTCCAAAGCCCAGCAGATATGGGTCAGCTACGTGTGACTAACAATTCTTATATATAAAGCTGAATGTCTGTTTGTATGTATGTCTGTATGTATGTACGTATGTTCCGAATAGAAATTTTTATTTTTGAACCGATCCGGACCAAACTTGGCACACATACACTTTGGGCCCCGGCGGGTTTCATAGGCTACTTTTCGTCATCGATCGATATCGATTTTATCGATTTTTATCGATTTTCTTGCAGAGTTCACCTACGGGGCTGGGAGTTGGCACAAGGGGTAACCAAGCATGGAGTTCCAAGTACAATATTAGTTTTCAGGATTATCGATTACTTTTATCGATTTTATCGATTTTTTGCAAAGTTTGAGCTACGGGGCTGGGAGTTTGCACAGGGGGTAATCGAGCATGGGGATTCCGAATACAATATTAGTTTTCAGGATTATCGATTACTTTTATCGATTTTATCGATTTCTTGCAAAGTTTGAGCTACAGGGCTGGGAATTGGCGCAGGGGGGTAAGTGGACATGCTGATTTCGAAAACAGCACAGGGAACGGGAAAAGAAGTGTAGAAATGGGCACAGGGAAAGGCTGTACAGGGATAGGGATGGGACCTTTATTACAGTGTTTTCACAGGGCCGGGCGGAGCCGGGTAAGCAAGCTAGTAAGATATATGCACCACGCGGGCAGTATTCCACGAGTGCTCCAATGTGCCAGTTTGCAGGTATATCTGCTACGCTCTGGCAGTTCGGCGTCAAGGCGGATTAGGGCGGATTCGGACGTATTCGGGCAGGTTTGGACGGTTACTGGCGCGGTCTGAACGATTTCTTACGGGCAGTTGACCCCGAGCTTTGGCTGCAAAAGCGGCAACAGGCGCGGTTTGGAGGCTCATTAAGATATGCAACTCTGTTGAGAATCATTGAAATGCATCAATTTAGTAAACATTATCTCTGCATTGAAAAGTTGTAGATGATGCTTATTTCTAGAGATTCTGTTGTTTAGAAGATCCTGCGATTTGTTATCGATACTTGCATATATCTTGTCATCAAACTATATTTATTTATAAGTTTGACCATTTTCAGACCGTTTGCTTTGTACTCGACGCCGAATTTCATGCCATAGTCAAGCCCAAATGGTACGAAGTGGAACCAACAACAAGGAGATTGCAAAGGAAAAATTGCACGGAAAAGAAAAGCAAAAAGAGAGGGCTTCGCAAAAGAATGATCGGATAGACCTAGATAGTGCTGGATCTAGCAGTGCAAGACGACGTGATAGACGGAGTTCGGATACGGATAAAAATGAAAGGTAATTGGACATTTCATTGCAGAAACTAGAGGGAAGGTGCGTCAGCGCGATAACGAGTAAAGGCTACTGCATGACGAAGGTGCAGAAGCAGGGGGGACGGCCAGGAGGTACGATTGGCGCGAATTTTTCGCGAAGCGACGCCGCAACGTACTTCAACCAATACAATAGCAGCACTCCAGGCGCAGTATCACTTATGGCATTGAGTCATGTACCTGCCTCCATCCCCACCCCCGTGTTTTTGCCGCCGGGAGTCTTTGATATGGGGAGCTCTGTGGGTCCCAAGATCAGGACGCGGCATGCGCGGCGAAGCGGCCGCCGCGCGCGGCGTACCTCCTGACGTGCAGCCCAGAAGCAGTACCAGTTGAGCGGACGCCAGCGCGGCGCGCGCGTTTTCTCACCGTTGGAAATCCTGCGCCTCAGGCCTCGGGTATACTTTACGCGATTTAGTCGCGAAGCGATTTGGCAATATATCAAATGTTTGAAACTCATTGGAGCTTTCTAAATGTCAGAAAGTAGAGCATTATATCAGTCTACGAGAGTTATAAAGGATATCCGTCGACGACAGCCCCGTTTCGTAGATTTACACCATCGCGGCCGTGCCTTTTGAAGCCTTTCAGCTTTATAGTAGGCTGCAGCTCGCGGGATATCCGCAGCTCACAGCATGCCCGTCCTTTAACTTCTTTTTGTTGTTTGAATATTTCACATCGTTTTTTCTCCTTAATTTTCATTTTAGGCAGTTACACATTCTCATACACGCAAAACCATTGCTCCGGAAAGAATCGGAAGGAATTGGGAGTGCAATGTTTCCTTCAGTGTTTCATTATAATTTGCCTTTTTTCTTAAGAGAGACTGCTAAAGTGGCTATTTCAGCACTTCTACATCAAGGAGACATGTAGGTGTGCTAAAATAAATGTTTCAGCGTTCTCATTTGAGGAGAAGGCATGATAGCCATGACTGTTCATGAGGAAGACACATTCTTTCCCCTAACTATGCCGGGACGATAGTTTACGATTCTGAAAATGTTTGTGTGGTATGTAAGAAGGAGCATGAATTCAATAACTGTACCAAAACTTTTTTCCTGCTTTTTCAGTATCCATCAAAGCAGAATTTGTAGGATGCTTGACAGCTCAAAGAAAAGGAAAACGAGTAACTGATGAGCAAGTGCTGCCTGAACTGAAGATTAAAAGGAAAACAAGATGAGAAATGTGGAAGAGGTTAAAGGACAGGGATGCTGCGAGCTGCGATTCCCTGCGCGTTGTAGCGTACTGTAAAGCTGGAAAGGCTTCAAAAGAGTGCGCCCGCGGTGGTGTAAATGCACGAAACGGGGCTGTCGTCAACGAATATCCTTTACTGGCTATGCATTTGTAATCTCCCAGTGTTGGATTTGAAGAAATCTGGCAAATTGCCAGAGTGTGGCGACTGAAATCGCGTGAAGTATGCTCGCGGCCTCATGCGATTCGTCATGCAGCATCCTATACTTATAGGCTGCTGCAGGAAGGCGCAATACCTTTGGGCGCGAACGCGGCTTTATTAGTTTCAGAGCGCAAGAGTCGCAGGGCTTACAACGGTGAAGATACGCGCGCGCCAAGTGAGCGCCTGCTCAACTAATACTGCTTCTGCGCCTTCGTCCCGCACTAGCCTTTAGATCCCCATCTTGCTGGAATTCCGGCTTTATTGCTTTTCAATGCATTGACAACGATGTGGACCACCGTTGGCCCACCCCCTTTCAAATCACATCTTTTCCAGGTCCAATATTTTTCCCGCAGTTCAATATTTTTTCAATTTTTTGCACTCTTACAAGCTATAGACTCTGTCGTCGTAGTTGCTTACTAAACAATTCAATATTTCGCTATGATCACGAGACTTTCCGCGCCGAAAATGCAGTGCAAAGTCGCATAGCGCCGCCACGCAAGATTAGGCGTCATCTTCAATGGGTGAACGATATCGTAGGTAGTATTGGATGAAACAGAAAACATCGCTCGATTCTCTAGAAATTATTTAGCACGTGACTGCGATTATGTTGTAATATCAAACAGCCGAACGGGCTTGTACAGTCAATGTCAATTACGTACTCCCTTTCGATTATGTTGTAATATCAAACAGCCGAACGGGCTTGTACAGTCAATGTCAATTACGTACTCCCTTTCGCATGGGAACTACGCATGCGCAACGCAAGGGCACTGCGTACGACCTCCAATCGATAAGGCCATTAATGCGTGAGCCATACGCGCGCGAACATGCGCGCGAAGCTCATTGCGCTTACGGAAAAGGGAGTACGTGATTGACACGGACTGTAGAGTCCGCGTGGCGAGGGTTGTGCGAGGTAGAGTACTATATGTCGCCGAAAATGGGCGGTCCCCGCGGTCATTTGCGACAAATACGCATCCTTGTATCATCGGCTTCACGATTCGTGTAGAGGCGGGGTTTTGCCAACTCAAAGCGTGGCGGTTTTTGATAGCGAGAGAGTACAAAAAACAATGCTATGACGTGGAGGTTTAACAAGTTTTCTGGGTTCCGTTGAGTGAAACAGCATCGCTTTGTCTCTAGATGTCACTTGTAAAATGTTTTATGTCATCAGTTGTTATGCTTATCTTCCCTAATTGCAAAACTTTAGGAAACATTCTGCGAGGCCGACGGACGAATTAAAACTACTACAGGTTCGATCTTACTTCCACTTTGTTTTTGTACTTACACGAATGAACAAGGAATTCTGTCGGCCATTCACTGTCGCGAAGTCGATCGCCCGGATAAAGTCATATTGTCGCTGCATAGCTAGCCTCCTAGCCCGCCACGGGTGGCCTGCTGCGGCTTTTGATCATTCTCGCTTAGGTAGGTGCCACACTTTTGCGGTTAAGCGGTTCGTCCGGTTCTCTCATTTGTTATTGGTCGAATCAATGAACTGACCGATAGCGAATGCGGTGAAGCGGATGAAGCGGTTGAACTGGATGAGTCTGGCACCTGCCTTAGGCATCGTTAAGAGCGGCACATGCCATACTGCACCTGTCTCCTAAAAGACGTGAAACATGTCATTTTGGGTTTTTTTGTCCAGTTATCAAAAAATTAACGTGAAACCTAGACTCTATACCTCGCAAGCTTTCATCTTGGTATCCCCTGTTTTTGACCATTTAAGACAAGCGCGATGTGAATTTGAAACAAAGTAAGGATTAGCGTCTTATTGTTAGAGATTTTTCCTTCCATTTTGAAAAAGAATACAGTTTAGCAAAGACGGAATAACGTCAACTCATAATGCGGCGAAGTTCTGAGTGTCATCCAGTGACACTGCAGCACCTATAATCTTCAGATGAACATGCATAAACAAAAACGTGAACGAAACAAAGAAGTTGCGATACCTAAAGTGAGAGAAGTGGAGCAAGCCTTTTTTATGAGGCTCGATCGTGTAATGTTTTGAATTCCATGCAATTCACGCACTTTGACACACGCTTCTAGATAGATACCGGCTGGCGATCGTTTGATCGGCCACTAGCCGGTAAGATCTTTTGGAGCGGTCACCGGCCGGCATTTAGCTCCGCCCAGATTTATGGAACGGCCGCCGGCCGGAAGGCCGTCATGGGACGGTCGCCGGCCGGTATGAGTGTCTGAGAGAGATGGGAGATTCGCACTATACTGTAAATCTAAGTTGAAGCCTTCTCTATTCAATGTTACTCAAAGCTGAGAAGAAAACTCATTGTAAGGAGAGTTATTAACGATTAAAAAGTGTATATATTAGGCTGTCCCGAAAATTTTGTCGGTTTTTTCATCGCTCACTAAAACCCACAGAACACTAATCCAGGGACAAGCTAGGCATCATTTGATTCAGATTTCAATCCTCTTTCTTACAGCTATATTCGCTCTCTGATCTACCCTGTCTTTGCCATGTTACCGCCATGGCTTTATGGCCAGTTTAGCAGTAACGCCAAGTCCTTACTGAATTTAAAAAATTTTTTATCTTGATGGTTTCAAAGAGCGGTAGTAACGGTTATGTAGAGCAGATCTTTGGCTACATCGTGCTTATTTTAGATCACATGGGCCGCGTTTATCAAGTCAGTTATAATTATTTGTTCAAGAAAAACCGCGGCTTTTTGATCACATTTACCACGTAAAAGTACCGAAAATTCCAAAAAGCTGCTTTTTCAAGGCAAATCAAACTTGGTCATGTTTCATAAATGATGCTTGATAACAATCAGTTTGAATTTGCAAAAACTTCAAAAACTTTCATGCTTTTGCTGCAATTGCGCGTTTCATGACTTTGCCAAAAATCGAGACCTCCGAAGAAATAATTTTTTGAAGCTAAAAACAGCAGGTTAGGAGGATTTAAAAATGTCACCTTGTAGTCCGAGAATTGCTCTATTTGAGCCATATTTAACCACCTCCGGAACTTTGGAATGAAATTTTTAAAAATTAGCCTAACTTTGAGCGGATAAAAATGACGGGTGAAGAATTGTAACAATTATCAAAAAAAGTATGCAGGATTGTGGCTTGGAAATGTAATCTTAAGAAAGAGAAGGAAAAGCTGCATCGAATGCATGTTAAATGTCATTCAGGTCTCTATTGTGCGTAGTTTTATAGCGGTTTGAAAAAACCGACAAAACTTTCGGGACAACCTAATATATTAATATCTACTGCATGACGAAGGCGGTTGCCCAAATAGGTTGAAGACTGTTGCGCACGCGGCGCGCGGGCAATTGTCAACCACCGGGCGCGCGTACGCTCGTTCAGCGCGCGCGCAGCTCCAGTGGATGACCGCTGACCGAGCGTGCGCGCGCCCGGTGGTTGACAATTGCCCGCGCGCCGCGTGCGCGACAGCCTTCAACCTATTTGGGCAACCGCCTTCGTCATGCAGCAGATATTAGGTCGTTTCACAAATTCGTAGAGTTTTTATTCTAGTAGCCATTTTTTGGAGAAGCGGTTGATTTAAGGCAAAGTACCTGTACTCTATACTCAGGGAAATTTGAGATTTTTTCTAATATTCGAATATTGAATAATATCCATAAATCGAATATTTGAAGTTTTCAGTTTTCGAATAATATTCGATAGTCGAATATTCGAAAATTGACAACTTCAAACTTCAACTTCAACGACAATATTTGAATTTCGAGTATTACTTTGCCCTCAAATATTATTCGATTTCGAATACTATTCAAGTAATTTATGTCAGTGAGACTGCTTATGAGAGACCAAAACATGTAACAATAAACTGCTCCATGTAAGTATGAAGAAAAGACCCTTTTTTATGTTAAAATTTATAATGAATATGCGTTTCAGCGGTGACGTGAAGACACTTAAAACCTAAAACGTACTCCTGTGACGGTTGGGAAAAGATTTTCCGAACCCTGAGAAAGACTAAACTTCCTTGAGTTGTGGATTGATTTACAGGGGTCCCAACAGTATGGTCTGTATGCTGACATCAACTTAAACTTACAGTATGGAGCGATTTATCGATCGCTTCTCACTGTTGTAAAGTTATCGTAGGAAAATTGAAGAGGGTTTTGAGACATCAAGGACTTTTCCTCAGGAAGGGAATCAGGCCGAAAGTCTTACATAAGACTTCTAAAGACAGCATATATAGAATTTGCAATTAACCGTAATGCTTTCTTTACAACTCATGCCAGATACATCGTAACAAATGTTTTTGATCGCCTTTCAGAAAACGTAATTGCACATTTGAAATGCTTGAAAACTTGTGCGTAGTAAAATCAGCATACGTAAAAACTCTGCTACACAATTAGACCTTTTTTGGAGGGATTCTTTTGTCTTATTTCGCAGTTGCTCTATATACTGGAAGGTTCTATCGTGATAGCGATTCGCCTGCTCTATTTATATGCTGAAGCCATCCCTACAGGATGTTATATGTTATCCAAGAGTTGGGAAAAGACTTCGTGAGTGGTATTAGCGATTGAACAATGTGTAGATACACTTGGGACACCCCGTATATGTTGTTGATCGAATTTCCGAATATTCGATGCTCATAGACTTTTCGAATAGTCAATTCTTATCGAGTTTTCGGATATTCGGTGCTCATCGAATATTCGAGGAAAATCGAGTAATCGAATCAATGACGATCGAATATTCGACTATCGAATAATACTTAGTTGAGATTTTCCAATATGCGACTTTCGCATAATATTCGAAAATCAGAATTTTTGAATATTCGACCATCGAGTAATATTTGAAGCCACAGAGTTTCAAATATTTGAATTTTCGAGTCATTCGCATTCGAACAGGGCTCGGCACAGGTGGCTTGCGGGGCAAACTGGATATCGTATTGGGGTAAAAGGCAAGGATATCGTTGTAGCGGCAACCCCAATTCCCCCCCCCCCCGAAGAAAAAGCAAAGGAGTTATCGTTTTTGATGCTAAAAAGACATTAAAGTTGCGGTTTTTTAGTCGACGTTTCGTTTTTTGAGGGTTTTTTATGTTTAGGGTTTAGGGAGGGGAGGGGGGCTTCGCACAGAATCGCGAAAGTCAAAATTGATTTTGTTTTTATCTTATATATAAAGCTGAATGTCTGTTTGTATGTCTGTCTGTCTGTCTGTCTGTCTGTCTGTCTGTCTGTATGTGTGTACGTATGTTCCGAATAGAAACTTCCATTTCTGAACCGATCGGGACCAAACTTAGCACATACACATACACATACACTTCGGGCCCCGGCGGGTGTCAGAGGCTACTTTTCGTCATCGATCGATATCGATTTTATCGATTTTTTGCAAAATTTGAGCTACGGGGCTGGGAGTTGGTACAGGGGAGTAATCGAGCATGCAGGGTCAAGCGTGGGGTGCGGCACGCCACACCTGGGGGTCGTATTGAGGAGTCAAAAGGGGAGGGGGTCGTAGTTGGGTAATCTGATGATAGTGATAACATGATATTCGTATCATATCCATAATTAGCATGTCAATTAACCTCTGTAGACAAAGTGTGAGCGAATTCTGAAGATTCAAGATACTAATCTACCTAAATGAAATTGTCAAATTCCAACATGGTTAACTTTGTTTCAAAGGTGAATTAGCTATCCGATTTTGCACTCAAGACAAAGCACTACTCCTTTTTTGTCCACCTCAGGAATCCCGCTTCAGAAGACCTCCAAACTGTGGAATTAGAAGCCAACCGAAATCTCATTTTTGCCATTTTTCGATTTTGATCTCTGTGCTTTCACCAAATATTACTTAAAGGGAAGGATACTCGGTCGAAGTGGCCATTTGGAATGAGCTGTATATTAGGAAACCGTCCTCCGTAGGGCAAACTCAAAACTACTTTCGCTAGGTGCCGAGCGCTTTTGTGGGGGGAGTTACAAGGCCATTTTCCTCCGGCGCAGCCAGCGCACCCAGTAATGAGCGAGGCGCTAGAATAACGCCCAGTGTGGCAGTGGTGCAGTGGCAACGCGGCGGACTACGAAGCAGATGATCGAGGGTTCGAGTCCTGTTGCTGCTATTTTGTTTTGCAGTTCTGTAAAAAGTCTATTGGGTGACAGTAAACGAAAAATACTCATTTCTAGGCAGTTGAAACAAGCTATTCACTGCAAAAAAATCACTATTTCTACAATAAGCCATAATCTTTTACAATATGTAAATCTGTGGAGGTTATGATGTCACAACAATGGGTTCAAATGATATATTAACATGTATGGAATACAACCACAAAATGCACAAAGCAGAAGAGCTTCTC